TTTATAAAGTACTTTTGGTTGAGTTGTTCTTGGGGATCTGGAAATGGAGATCAGTAAGTATATGAGGTTTGATGACACAAAAAAAGGAAGAGAGATTAATGGTGAAGAATATGCTTAATTACACTTTTCTCTTTTCTATATATGCTTGTGTGTCTATATAATTCTGTGTGTGGCGTGTGGTTTCAGCTCATCACCAATTTCTAATTTCACTTCTCTTTCTTCTGCTTTCTTACATTACATATATATATATATAAGTGTTTTCTGTAAATTAGACAGAGCAAATAATGTAAAAAGGTAACCAATTTAATATCACTAATGTGTTTGGTTTGAATTTTTATAATATATAATTAGGGTTTATATTTTTACAGCGTTATGCGATTATTTAAACAGAACGCTCTCAAATAACTTAACCAGTTGTAAACTATATAAAGTTGAGATATTAAAAATTAAAATAACTTTTAGTTAAAAATGTCCATTTGTAAAATAGACATGTAATGGCAGTGTTAGTAATTTCTAAAGCAGAGAAGACCCGTTTTAGTCAAATCTTCAACCACTAATTTCTTTGATCTGCCATGCATGATGACGCAACTAGAAAAGAATCCGAAAATGGAAACTTAATGAAAAAATGTTATAAGGAAAATAAAGTTACCACAAAAGGAAATAAGGCAAAAGAGAGAGAGAGAGTAGCCAAATGGGAAAGGACAAAGTGTAACAATATATGAAAGTGACTTTTTTTTATTTTTCTTACCCACCCTCCTTTGCCTTTATATGTAAAATACATAAACGCCATTTGCTTTTCATTTCTATAAAAACATCAATTTATGGGTAGTTTTACTAGATTATATTTGTGATAAGTATATTAGAACATGATCAACAATAAGTGTTAGTAAATTTTTGAAAGGATTGCTAATGGATTAAAAATAATAAATAATCTTAGCAACTCAACTTAAAGTTGCTAATTTTAACATTTTTACAACCTAAAAAATAGATTGCTAATGGGTGCTAGAATTATTTAATTGTATTAAATTCATTAGCAACCCATTAAAAAACTTACTAACARCCATGGTTGATTATGCTCTATATATCTCCTTTTTTCGTGTCAAATCGATGTCATATTACCAGTGTAACGATATAATCGACTTCTAATCCGCCGATTGTAAAAGCAAAATCCATTGTACGCTCTTTTATTTGTTTAAGTAACACTAATCACTCTTTTTTTTTGTATAATTTAAATTTCATTTATAAACTAGCCGGTTACAAAAAGGAGAGGAAAACAAAAAYGAATAGATGTTTTTGTACAACAAAATTACCAAACGAAAACAAGGCAAAAAAAAATCATTTTTGTCGGAAATATGCTGAGTTTCTAGTATATATAGTAACAAATTAGGATGACATTCCATTT